AGAGATCCCACCTTGTATTGGAGAAATAGAGACGCTTGAAATAATTGAGATNNNTAGAGACGCTTGAAATAATTGAGATAGATTATTCCAGTCCTTCTGTCGTGAAATCTGCAAAGCATATAGTTAATGACCAACAGAGCCAGGGAAATGAATGCCTTCAAGTTCTCTTCCATCCAACGAAAGCAAGGCTTAATCCTTTAAAATTTGGGGTAATTCAGTCCCTCATCCTCTATTTTTCATGTTACTTTAACTTTTAGATGCATCAGGGCTGACATTGATGAACCTGCCTACAGTTATGGCAAGATGACTCAGGTGTAATTCATCGACCAAAAAGGAAACTCGATAAGTTAAGGGTAAATAAATTACTCTCTCTATATTTGTATGTTAGTTTCTTGATTTAGATACATCAGGGTAAATATAGATTAACCTGTCAACTCATCCAGAAAAAGGTCTCTCCAGCTGTTCCAATTATTAAGACATCAAAGGTAAATCAATTGCTCGCACATATTTGTATGTTAGTTTCTTAATTTAGATACATCAGGCTAACATTGATGAGCCTGCCATTATACCTAGGAAAATTTCGGGCTATTGGTACAACAACTGACCGGCAAGATTAATGAGGATATTGCATAGTATCTTGATGCATCAAACCAAGAGTATATTGCACAACCCAAGAAGCCCAGGTGGTCCAGCCCAATCCAACAAGCCCACAGATCGAGCTAAGACGTGTAAGATCTCTCTGTCTCCGTCTCCGTTACATCGAACTCCGAACTTGACGTTTAGAATATTGCATCGTTAACCCAGAAGCTCAATTGGGACAGTTCTCCCTGCCCAGTCTTACAACCCGTTTCAATGCAGCATAACAATCTCTATGGACACCTACAATCTGTTTTAATTCAAAAAAAAGTTAACAACACAGCCATTTGCTCTTTTGCTTGAGCGCAGCCTTGTATTATGTCCACAGTTGAGGGTTGTATTGTTTCTATTATTAATGGAAATCAGAGTCCTGGTCGTGTTGTCCTTGAGGAGGGAATCATCTTCTGCGTGATGATCCGAAGCAAACTGGGAGTCCCCCTACTGATGGGGGATCTTGAGCGTTAATGTCACCAAAGTCTTGAGCTCCATACCCAGAAGCATGATGTAACGCCCCAAATCTAGATACATAATTATCATTTCGTTTTCTCTTAAAATCATAAATGCGGGAAGACGATTAGATTTTTCTTCAACATCATAAACATCATTGACTTATTAATTTAAAATAATTTGCAAATGTAAAATTTATTTACAAAACGAATTCTATATTTAAATGTGATAGTACTGAGTTCGTTTCACCAAAAGTCGTCATCTTGTATGATCTTGCCTTCATCATCTAAAATTGGGAGGGATAACGGGTGTTGAGCTAATGCTTAATAAGCAAACCTCATGCATATGATGTATGCTCATGGTATGCATATGAATTACTTTAAAATAGAAGCATTTCTCAAAATGTATTCCCTTTTTTGCAATTTCTTTAAAAAGTTAACAATGACACGTCGAAAATGTATTCGACTTTGATTACCGCAAGTGTACGGATCGTTCAAGTAATAAAATGGATTTTAGAGTCCAAGTATCGTTCCCACAGAGATTTACTAGTTCGATTTTACCTATTCCGACTTTAAC